CGACGCAACACCTACCAAAAATTTTTTGGTTTAGGTTCAAGTCGTCCAAGCCATTAAAGAAAAAAAAATTAGTGTAACAATGTTTCGGAAGGTTAAATTGATAGCAAAATTCTCTGTAATACAAAACTAAATCATGTGATGTAGATCATCATACCTAAAATTAGAACCATTTTTTATTGGCAAAAAATGCCTGGATTGTATAACGCTATTGTTTATCATTGTTTATCTCAAATTATACTGCGCCTTTCGTACCTCGATTTTCCTAGCACAGAACCCATTTATACTATTCAAAAAATTTACTTTTGTTGTTACTCAAAATTTCTTCTTTCAATCAGATCTTTAGCTTTCATGATGGCTATGATTTAAACCATTTACCATCAGAAGTAATCTTAAACGAGTTATTTCCTATTCAACTTGTACCTACATTAAACTTCTATATAAGCAAAAACAAAAAAAAATTGGTAGTCTACTTAAATTAACCATTTCGAAGTGCTGCTATAAAAAATAAAAATAATATTGGTGTTAATATTGCTATCCATAAAGTATTATAAATATAAAATAAAAATGACTTACCGGTATAGTTTCAAACCGGTCAAGACTCCATTTCCAGTTTCCAAGGAGTCCATTCTAAAAGAAATAAAAAAAAAACGTTAATAAACATCCTTAATAAAAAATAAAAATAAATAAAACTTACTGGTAAATTTCAAGCCGTCTATTTCCTAGTTTCCAAGGAATCACCTAAAAAAAAGAAAAAAAAAAAAAAACACTTTAATAAAAAAAATTTTTTTTTGATCTGCAATTATGTAATTGAATTGCACTACAAGCATTAATTGCGATAAATTGGATAATTATGGTATTGCAGAATTGCAGATTTTTAGACTTCAAAATCTGCAATATATATCTGCAATACTGCGGACACACTTTTATAATGTAGTATACGATATTAAAATGTGAAATTTACCCCAATTATAATACAGTCAACTCCCTTTATAGTCACTCCTGTTATAGTCACATTCTACTATATAGTCACACCAGTCGAATGTTCAAAACACTTTATTATTAAAATCTATCCTATATAGTTACAATCTATCTATAGTCACTATCACACCTATCCTCAAAAATCTTATATTAAAAAAAACCATTTATAATCACAGTTATATAAAAAATATATTAAATAACTTGGCATCTAATAATCATACAAAGATGTACCATAGCTTGTTAGAATCATCTCACTGAGACGAATCGAATGGTAGTAGTTTTATCCTTTTATGATCACTGGCTGATGAGTTATTCAACAAAATGGTAAGCATCGGCATTATTATATTTCTTGATTTACGTTTACTACGCCATTTAACATTTTGCTAAATTTCTCGGTACCTAGTGATTGTAAAAAGACAATTAATAGCTCGTTGGAATCGCCTCATCAAGACGAATCGAATGGTGGTAAGCTCATCTCTCTGTGATCAATATTGACGGAGTTACTACTTAAAAACCATTTAATATTTTTTAATTTCAGAAATTGATCTAGTGATTGTATTTTATACCATTAGATTCGTCGCATCAAGACGAATCAAATGGTAGTAAGATCATTTCTCTACGATTAATATTGGCGGAGTTACGATACAATAAAGTTTTGAGTATAATTTTGGCCAAAATTATGTTAATTTTTGGCCAGAATTATGATATACTAATATAAGAAATTTTTTATATAGTCACATCTCTTTATAATCACCAAATATGGACTGTCCCAAATGTGTGACTATAAAGAGAGTTGACTGTATGCTACTTTAAAAATTATAGAAATTTAACCATAAAAATCCTATCACTATTTTTTTAGTTACCTCATTTTACCCCCACATTTTTTAAAAAAACCCAGTTTTTACATACCACCTTTCAAAATTTTTCTTTAAAATTTACCCCATTTTATATATACCAGATTTAATATAATTGTCTGAAATCTTAGTGTGGTCAGATGAGTCAAGATTCGCACTTTTTAAATCAAATGATCAAGCAAGAGTATAGAGAAACCCTGGAGAAGCTTATAATAAAGATTGTATTCAACCTACAGTTATGTTTGGTGAAGATCAGTAATATTTTGGGGTTGTTTTGGTTAGCATGGAGTTAGACCTTTGGTTGTTGTAAAAGGGAACATAGATTCTGATGATTATATCAACATCCTAGCTAACAATTTTATACTATGGGTTAATAATTATTCAAACTCTATTTTTCAGCAAAATGGTGCCTCATGTCATACTTCAACTTATAGTGTTTGGTGGATGAGAATGCATAACATTCCGGTATTAGATTGGGTAGCGCAAAGCCCAGATCTTAACCCGATTGAGAATCTGTGGAATTATTTGGATTGTCAGGTTCAAAAAAGGAAGCCTCTGCTTAAGTTTAAACAGGAATTAATTAATGTGATAAAGGAGAAATGGAGAAAAATTAGTATCAAACCGTTACATCATTTAATTTTGAGTTTACCTAATCAGGTTAAAGCAGTAATTAAGGCTAAAGGCGGACATATTAAATACTAATATAATTCATATTAAATTTTCAAATAATAAACTTAATATTTGGTACTTTGTTTTAAAAAAAATTTTTATTAATTAATTAGTACAATAAATTTTTCCATATACAGGAAAAAACCCACATTATATATATAAATTTTATAAATAGTAAAAAAATCTGGTAAATTACTGTAGGCCTCTGTATGATTTTTTCTGAAGTTACATGATTTGCCCTGCTTTAGACATCTTCTATAAGGACGTCCTTATTTTACAGGGATGTACAATCTAAACGTACTTCTGGTGACCTGAGTTTAGGAGTTATGCGTTAATTTTGATCAGTTCTGTACATTAATATCATATACCTCCAGTATACGTTAAGAAACCCCTAGGTAATAATAATATTACGTAATATATCATAGTATCACTGGATTACTCATTGTACTCGTAAAATTACACGTTATTTTTTTACTAAATCTAAGGCAATACTACATTTCTAAGTTCTAACTAGAACAGATTGATTATTACAAGATGTCTGATACTAAGAATCTTAATCTGGATTTTATAATGTTTTAGGACTATGATTTTTTAATAATAAAATAAATACAAAGCTCGGGACTTTGCCCAGAATACATGATGTTTATATACTATTGATGACTTCTGTTTTTTGAACTATCCCTAAATCTGTTTGCTGGCTCCTTCTCAACATCCGCCTTATCCCTTAATAGCTCTCTATTACCCATTTCACATTTTTATGCAACTCCTTTTCTTTCTCCGAATCTTCCTTCAAGTAGACTCAGAAAATCAGATATTGAAGGGGAAAGGTCCTTACTGGTACTTGAAATCCCATCTGATGTGAATAGAACAAAATACCATTCTATAGCTATTGTAATAATTCTGTAAATATAGTCAAAGTCACTTTCAAACGCTTTATACAACTTACACTTTATCTTATTTTTATTCACTTGTAAAGCACTTTCATACTGGATCAGATTCTATGTGAAACCTATGACCACTTGATGAAGCATTCCTTCTGTGATGCAAATTAGTTCTTCAAGGGCTCTAATAGGATTCTGCTTACTTATAATAAAGGTCACCATAGAAAATTGGCCTTTAGTTTTTACCTTACTTTTTTCTTAAATTCTATTGGTTAATTAGTTAAAAAGGACAAAAATCATAACAATATAACATAAAATTTCCTTTTATAATAGGATCTGCAAAGAATTTTATATATAATTTTTACCTTAGACCTGGGGGTGATCTATCTTATAAGTAAGCGAGGTCCCGCTTTAATTGCGTAGTCAACTAACTCATCCAGTACTTTCTTTACCAACAACTTCAAGCTGAAAAGCAAGCTAAGATCTTTTTTGATTATTCTCTTGATGATAAAGAGTGACATGTGAAGAATAGCCAAAATGTATTCATAACGTATGGTATATACATGAAGTCAAAATTAAAGCCCAATAGTAGAAATATTTCGACTTGGGAAGGTCAAAAGTCGAAATTAAAGTTGAAATAGTCAAAATTACATCATAGTCATGTGATTTTTATAATTATAATTTAATATAAAATTTTAAACGTAAATAACTCCATCAATATTGATGCTACATATATGAAATATATATCATTGGAATCCTCTCGATGAGCTGAATCCAACCGTGTAAAGATCATAAAATTCGAATCACTGGATGCGGAGATCGTTAACTTTGAATTTTAATATTATTGTTTACTATAAAATCATATGACTATACTGTAATTTCGACCATTTCGACTTTTGGAGGGGCTCAAGTCGAAATCATTTCAACCATTTCGACCATTTCAGAGGTCAAAATTAACCAATTTTGGTTTCATGTATAGCATGGCATATTTCCCAATCTGCCCTTATTTTTCTTATACATTGTTGTTAACTCCTTGTCTTCAAGTGGATAAGTTTCTTAGAATGTAAGATTAAAAAAAGTTAGCTTAGCTCCGGTTAATGTCAAAAATATCTGTGTTAAAAACCTACTTAGCGGAAATTGTCGTATCATACTTATGCCATTACCATCAATACTATATTTTTCAATACCTTTTTCAAGCTCTTGTACAAGAAGAACGTACATACCAGAAAAATTGTAAGGTGGTGCTAAAAGCTTTTCTTCAGTCAACTTAAGAAAGGCCTGGCTGTCAACCTTTTGTTTGTGAAGTATTCCCAAGTCATTTTTGTCGAGCTTAAGGTTCTGTTCTTTCAAAAAATCAACAAGGGTATCTGTATCCCAGTTTTCAATCATATAAGAATTGTGTTCAGCTGTCAAGTAGGAATATTTTTGCTCAGATAAAAAAAGTGTTATGTTCTGAAGTGAGATAAAAATTTATTAGGTCGAGCGTTAATATAGGTTTTTATATTGCACAGGCATTGCTTCATTACACGTGACCAGCTATCTCAATAATCTTATATATATTCGATAAAATAATAATACTTTATTTAATGAATAGTACATATGGAAATATTGAATTAGCTGAATTCACCATGAAACACTCAAGCCCAGTATTAGCATTGGATATTCAAAAGCCAAAAACACATTCACATTAGGAACTTTCTTCTAGACAAAAGATAAGAAATGTCAAAACAACTAATTGAAAATGAATACTTAGAAAAGTATTTAACTTAACTGGTATAGATTTTAATTGCAATATTTCAATTGATATGATCCAAAAAATTATCCATGGTCATTAATTTAATAGGTGAAAGTGACGACTATTATTATATTTATAAAGATTCATGATGATTCTACCCAATTTACAATTGTAAATTTGATGATTACGATCAAACAATGCAACTATTTAAAGATTACAAATTAATACTACATGAAGCATTAAAAATTGTAAAGGAACAAGAAAATATTGGTAATAAATGATAGACAGTTTAAACAAGTTTCAAGGGCGTTAAAAATTTAGTAACTGATATTAAAAGTATGAAAGACAAATTACAAATCCACGTATTTAAATTCAATGATGCCTATAGCACATGGTTTCCTGCATTGAATAGTCATATTGTACGAGTGGTATTTGTGAGAAACAGGGTGGACATCCTTATATCACCTTACCGATCATTTGCCGATCATATAGTAATTTGATGATATCAGACTTTAAGGCTTCGGGCAAAGCCACAGAAGTTCAGGCGAAACTTGAAACTTTTATGGGTTATAGATTAACAGCTTTAGAATTACAGTCAACTCTCTTTATAGTCACACATTTGGGACAGTCCATATTTGGTGATTATAAAGAGATGTGACTATATAAAAAATTTTTTATATTTGTATATCATAATTCCGGCCTAAAATTAACATAATTTTAGCCAGAATTATACTTAAAACTTTATTGTATCGTAACTTCGCCAATATTAATCGTAGAGAGATGATCTTACCGCCATTCGATTCGTCTTGATGAGACGGTTCTAATGGTATAAAATACGTCGAAATCCAATCACTAGATTAAT